GTTTTGCACCTGGGTTTTCAAATTTTCCGGAAGTACCTAGTATGGAAGCTCGGTAGGGGTCGAAATTTAGGACATAAATCAGGAGTGAATTTTCGAGACATTTTTTATCATATCTCTAAAACTATGGAGATTTTCTAAAAACATATTGAATAGAAATTGTGTAGAATTACAAGATCTTTTATATGATATCAAGAAAAAAGGGCTGACTCATCACATTAGGGGCCGAGAGGGGCCGAAAGTCTTTAGTCAATAGCTCTTTAACAATAAAAATTTTGTAATGCATTACAGAAGCATAAATGTTTATCTCAACAATTTACAACTATATATTATAATATTAACATCATATGTTACATAACTAGGGGCCATTAGGGGCCAGAATGCAAAATCTTTGACGCTTTATATTTCAAAAGTGGGAAATATTTTGATAAGCAATATTGAACAAAAGATGTTCAAAATAATGTTCTAAACAATATGCTATGCAACGTTTCATTTTTCTCCAAACGTTCTCATTAAGGAGTTAAAGGGCCGGCCCCTAAATACTTCTTTTGCTAATATCTCGGAAACGAAAAAGAATTTCTGAATAGTTGTTGAACGAAAAGTGTTCAAAATCATAAGATCTTTAAAGTGGTATGAGGAAAAAGGGGCTGGACCCTCACAATAGGGGCTGAGAGGGGCCGAAAGTCTTTGAACAATAACTCTTTAACGATCAATATTTTGTAATGGATTACTGAAGCAAAAATGTTTATCTCAACAATTTACAACTATAGATTATGATATTCACATCATTTGTTACATAATTAGGGGTCATAAGGGGCCAGAATGCTAAATCTTTGATGCTTTATATCTCAAAAGTGGGAAATATTTTGATAAGCAATATTGAACAAAAGATGTCCAAAATAATGTTCTAAACAAGATGCAACCTTTCAATATTTGCTAAACGTCCCCATTAAGGAGTTGAAGGGCCGGCCCCTAAATATTTCTTTTGCGAATATCTCAGAAACAAAAAAGAATTTCTGACTAGTTGTTGAACAAAAAGTGTAAAAAACCATGAGAGCTTTAAGGTAATATCAAGGAAAAGGGTCTGACCCCTTAAACAAGAGGCCCATGGGCCACATCGCTCACCTGAGCACATTGGCTAGGCAAAAGCACAATCAGTTCAGTATTGAAAAGAAGGGGGGGGGGCTTGAATTTTAAACTACCTGATGATGCTTCCATGTCAATATAACAAATGGCTTTGTTGTACTTGAGAAGATTTTTTTAAAAATATTCCCATGTATTCCTTTGTAAAAATTTGATCCCTCATTGTGGCTCCTCCCTATCCCAGGGGTCATCATTTGAACAAACTTGAATCTACACTACCTGAGGATGCTTCCATATCAATATGACTAAACATAGCTTTTCTGTTCTTGAGAAGAAATATTTTTTCTATATGTTCTTATGTAAAACTTTCCATCCCCCATTGGGCCCCATCCTACCCCTGGGGGTCATCATTTGAACAAACTTGAATCCACACTACCTGAGGATGCTTCCTTATCAATATGACTTAACATAGCTTTTCTGTTCTTCAGAAGAAGATATTTTCCTTTATATTTCTATGTAAAACTTTGATCCTTCATTGTGGCTCTGCCCTACCCCCGGGGGTCATGGTTTGAACAAACTTGAATCTACACTACCTGAGGATGCTTCCATATAAATATGACTCATTATGGATTTGCTGTTCTTGAGAAGAAGATTTTTAAAGGTTTTTCCTATATATTTCTATGTAAAACTTTGATCCTCCATTGTGGCCCCGCCCTACCCCCGGGGGTCATGATTTGAACAAACTTGAATCTACACTACCTGAGGATGCTTCCAAATAAATATGACTCATCATGTCTTTGCTGTTCTTGAGAAGAAGATTTTTAAAGGTTTTTCCTATATATTTCTATGTAAAACTTTGATCCTCCATTGTGGCCCCGCCCTACCCCCGGGGGTCATGATTTGAACAAACTTGAATCTACACTACCTGAAGATGCTTCCATATAAATATGACTCAACATATCTTTGCTGTTCTTGAGAAGAAGATTTTTAAAGGTTTTTCCTACATATTTCTATGTAAAACTTTGATCCTCCATTGTGGCCCCGCCCTACCCCCGGGGGTCATGATTTGAACAAACTTGAATCTACACTACCTGAGGATGCTTCCACATGAGTTTCATCTTTCCTGGCCCTGTGGTTCTTGAGAAGAAGATTTTTAAAAGATGCTATTAATTTTTCACTAATTCTTTATTATCTCCCCTTGAAAAAGGACGTGGCCCTTCATTTTAACAAATTTGAATCTCCTTCACCCAAGGATACTTTGTGGCAAGTTTGGTTGAAATTGGCCCAGTGGTTCTTGAGAAGAAGTCGAAAATGTTAAAAGTTTACAGACAGACAGACAGACAGACAGACAGACAGACGGACAGACAGACAGACGGACGCCGGACAAAAAGTGATCAGAAAAGCTCACTTGAGCCTTCGGCTCAGGTGAGCTAATAAGGGACCGAAAGTACACAATCAATAACTCTTTAATGATCAATATTTTGTAATATATTACTGAAGCGAAATAGTTCTTCTTCACACACTTTATCTAAATAACATGATGTTGATATCATATGTTACGCAACAAGGGGTCTTTAGGGGGCATAAGATTGCATAATCTTTGGCGCAATATGTCTCGAAAAGGAAGCATATTTTGATAAACAGTATTGAACAAAAGACGTTCAAAATAATATTCTGAACAATATGCACTCTTTGAATTTTTGCTAGACGTCTCCAATTAGGACTTGAAGGACCGGCCCTTAATATTTCTTTTGCATATATCCCAAAAACAAAAAAGAATTTCTGAATAGTTGTTGAACAAAAAGTGTTCAAAATTTTGAGAGCTTTAAGATGATATCAAGAAAAAAGGGGCTGACCTCTCACATTAGGGGCCAAGAAGGGCCGAAAATCTTTAATCTATAACCCTTTAATGACCAATATTTTGTTAAACATTATTGAAGCAAAATTTTTCGTCTTAACAATTTATTTATATCATTATATTTAAACGAAAATCTCAGTCAAACTCTTATCTCATCTTATCAAAAATCGGACGGAAGACCCACTCGTTGCTCGCAACGAGATCTCATCTAGTTCACCTTTATGTTTGTTACACTATAGGCACTTTGCTTGCCTTGTTTGCCGATCTTCTTTGTATCAGTAATTTGAGGAATCTTGATCAATTTATTTTAGAGAGCTTAAATAAGTTACACTTCTGAGAGCTCTAAATAAATTTACACAGAGGGCTAAAATGGTATATGCACTGGTCGAAGTAGGAGTAAAAAAAAGAGATTTGTTGTTACATTCATTCTTAATAAAATTAATTCTTCTTAACTTTTCAAGTGTTGTTATTTTAAGGTGTATAAAGCTATAAAATACTTTGAAAAGATCTGCTACATGCTTTAGTTGTCTGTATTGCAGAATTTGTTTTACATTCCATTCGACATCATTCGTACCTACTTTGAACTGGAATGTTTTTTCGGTGAAATATGAATTTTTATGTTTAGTTGCTAAGGGGATTGCATGTTGCCATGGCTTAATTATTAGGAGATTACATGTTGCCATGACAACAACTGATAGAATATTTTATATTCTTTCCGCTCTCTCAACATATACAATCATCAACACATTAATTGAATATTCATTTCCATCACAAACAATATGATCCCAAAGTCAAATCTGTCTTACAGGAGGCATAGGGTACATTGGTTGTCATGTACTGGTAATAGTTGCCATGGGTTGATTAAGTACCAAAAAAACTTTAATAAGACCAACATTTCATTGTCAATTTTGCTCAACGACATTTTTCTGACTTAATTTGAATAAATATTAATAAGATTACATGAATAAATGTCAAAATTAACTTTCTTTGCCCCGTTGCTATGGAGAACCTGTTGTTGCTATGGAGATAATTATACAATATTCAATAATTTGCTAGGAAGTCCAAATTTATTTCTACTATTTTAAAATTTGTTTTTCGTTTTTGTAGATAACAATTCATTTGATTTTTCCGTAAACTTTTTACATTGTTTCTCATTTTATGTATCAAAATGCCCATATTTGTTGCTAGGCAACAAATTCAATTTTCAAAAAGGCCCGTGGATTTGACTTCAAATTCTAAAAGAGAAATTCATCTGCTTTTATGTGAAATACACACAACAGCTGTATTAATCTGGCCTTTTTTAAAATTTGGCCTTGAATATTGCCAAAATTATGAAAAATGCTGAATCAGCAAAAATTGCAAAACATGTGTACCTTCCAATGGCTAGCACAGAACTAACTTAAGACCTAAATTTCTTTTATTGCATTATTAAAACACTTAATATTCGTATCTTTATTACACCAGTAAGTGAAAAATATTCTCATGGTATTAAAATTTTATTTTAAGCCTTAAAGATAGGTGAATTTTTGTCCATCAACACAGAAAAATTTCCTGGTTGCTAAGGAAATTTCTTTGGCCGGGTTTCCATGGTAACCATGACTCAAAGCATTTTTCATTTTACATACATTGTTCATAGTTCAAAACAAATCTATGTGTGGAAAATCATCAAATTCTGAGAACCCTCATATATCACCCTTTGTCTGATTTTTATGTGGACTGGTACTTAAGTAGGAAAACATACCTCTCTTAACCAATTCAATCTCCTATAAAGAATGGAATTTCCCCCCTAACTTAACTCTGAACTGGATGACAAACAGAATGTAAACTTGGTATCAAAACATGTCTTACTGCCTTCAGAAACAATGTATTAAATCTGAATCTAATAGGATATATATTAGAAAAGTAATCTGAAAAAAAAACTTGTGGATGGACAGAATGTCAGAAATGACAGACAGACAGAAAGATGGACAGACTGTGATTACTACAGGGCACCTGCAAATTCTTGCACGGCCCAGATAAAACTTCCTACACTAAAAACTTCTTGTTCTTGTCCAATACTCACCACTATCACAGAAGGAAGAAAAAATGCACTTCTCCAAGAGTAGGAAGTCTGTAGATAAACCTAAAATCAAAACCAGAGACTGTAGATAAACCTAAAATCAAAACCGAAGACTGTAGATAAACCTAAATTCAAAACAGGAGTCTGTAGAATTAACCTAAAATCAAAACCAGACATAGAGTTAGAATGCCTGAATAAAACTTTATCTGTTCTAGTAGGGAAATACTCTTCTATCATTTTTTCTCAATTGATTTATGAGATTGTAGACAGAAGAGCTTAGAAAAGCTGATCCTTAAAGTACCACATCAACTGAATTTAATAAAACAAGAATGTCTAGTATAGCATTAGGACACTGTAGTTTTTTTTCATTATCCAGTATTGTGGAGGTCATAATCTCATTATTTTGATTGGATGACTTACTGCCAGTGAAGTTCCCATAATGCCCCCCGCAAAGGCACACGTCCCAAACATTCCAAACATGCTGTTCCTGACATCATCTGCATACCAGGATCCCAGGCACTTAATGCAGTTAGGCCAGCACTGGGCCTAGAGAATGCAAAAACCAGCACTTAATGCAGTTAGACCAACACTGGGCCTACAGAACATTAAAAAACAGCAACTAATATACTGTAAAAGCAGAAATATTCGTTGGGGATTAAATTTCATTAATTCCATTGTTAACAATTATAAACGAAATTAAAACTCACATGAAATTTTATATGACTATATATTGAATAGGATTACTTTCGAAACAACGAAATTAAATCCTCACAAAACCTTTTTACATGACAAATCAACGAAATTTTATCCCCACGAAAATTTGTGCTTCTGCAGAAGTAAGGCCAACACTGAGCCTACAGAACACATAAAAACAGCACTTAATGAAGTTAGGCCGCACTGCACCTACAGAACACAAAATAACCACAGGTAATGAGGTTAGGCCAACACTAGGCCTACAAAACACAAAAACAGCACTTAATACAGTTGGCCTACTGGGCCTATAGACAATTGTACTGCACTTATAAATCAGTATTTTGTTAAAAAGATTAACTTTGCTGATATACAATAAGTACATGTAGAACATTAATACAGTTCTCTCTTTTTGAGATATTGAGATTTGACTGCATGTTCTGTGATTCATTATAAACTGGCATGAATGTTTTTTATCAGTGAAATGAAATGTTGAAAACTTCTCATGTCTGTGCCAGACACATTATTATCTGTACTGTTCCATTAATTAAGATAAGACCTACCTGTGCTGTTCCAATAATTAACTGTTCCATTAATTAAGATAATACCTGTGCTGTTCCATTAATTAAGATAAGACCTACCTGTGCTGTTCCAATAATTAAGATAACACCCACCTGTGCTGTTCCATTAATTAGAATAACACCTGTGCTGTTCCATTAATGAAGATAAGACCTAACCGCGCTGTTCCATTAATTAAGATAACACCTGTGCTGTTCCATTAACTAAGATAACACCTACCTGTGCTGTTCCATTGATGAAAAGTAATAGGAAGAATAACCAGAAATTACTCCAGCTTCCAAATGTGGCCTACAAGAAGACAGGAGGAACTCATCAGTAAATTCTATAAGTCTTTATATTCTTTAAAATGATTATTTTAATTTGTAATTTTCATTGATTGAAAAGATCTCATGTGATATTTATCTTTTTCTGATATTGATGCAAAAACCTGTCCACGGAATGTTATATTGCATGACTCGCCATTTCTATCCTGTAATCTCCAAGAACAGCCATGACAAAATTACGTAGAACATGTCTTCATATAATATAACTCATAAGAATCATTTTTCTTACCATTGTGACATAACGACAACCAAGTCTGTTCATTTCGGACAATGTCAGATTATTCACTGTGAGTGATTACATAATATAACTATTATGGAGTTCTTTTCTGTGTCCGAATGGTCAACATGTGGTTACTAGGACCCATGTCATATGATACTGACCTCAGACGCAGAGAAAGGTAGCAATCTCACAAGCTCAGTTTCTCTGATTACTTTAGATGAGTCTTTGGTCAATATCACTTGACATGGACCTTGTTTTATAACTACATATCGACCTACACTGAATTCTATAATTGTATTATATTCTTATACACAGAAATCCATTAAATCTGGCAAGCACCTCTTTTGTTTAGTTTGGATAATTCCATGATATTATTAAGTTGTCTTTTCTGATGTTAACTAATTGTGTTTGATCTTTAATTTGTACAAATGCTTTAAACATTATGCATTTGAAATTTCAAATTTGAAGTCCCATCAGACGAGTTAAAACTATTACCATCATTACTCCCCTCCTCCCCCCCCCCCCCCCCACTCACACACACACTTTATAAAATTTGTTTGACATACAAGCATTACTTGTAACCTAATTGTCCTTCTCCAGTTTGTTTGACTTCATAAAGAAATTGTTAGAATGACAGTATGACATTGTGTTTCATTCTGTACCATTGAAAATGCAGACATCAGCAAGCAGACTCCAAAAGTCCTTCTGGGTCCAAATCTGTCTCCTAGAGGACCCAACAGCATCTGCAAACAAAGGAAAAAATGTACAATATCATAAACAAAATAGCAGCTCTAGTTCTAGGGTTTAAAACTTGCTCAACTTTTTCAAACCTTCTATTTTCATCCTTAAATGGACTAACAATTTTTGAGATATCTGAGAGTTCTGGACAATTAAAACTGAGAATCAATCTTATAATATGACAATATAATATACATGACTTTGGAAGTTAAAACTGAGATTCTATCTTATAATATGACAATATAATATGTATGAGAATATAATACGACAATATAATCTATCATTCAATAATCAGGAATTTTGATGCTCTCTGACTGGTCTAGATTCCCTTTCCAGGGCTATACCCAAGAGTGAGTTCATGTAAAAATAAAGTTCTGGCATGTTTATTTGTGTTTTTCCTCTTAACCAAATATAGATTTACTTTTTTCTGACCAATGAAATTGCGCGTTTTAAAGCATGTCTAACTGTAGTTGTGAATGTAAACATGACAGACACCAGTACAGGCACATGTAGCTAGGCTAAATGTCTTCTTAAGTAAATGGATTAGTATTATTGTTTTATACTATTGTTTTCCACTTTTAAACAGTAGTTAAAGTGTAGAAATATATTATGAAACATTGTTACACACCACATTATATTAAGAGTGCTTAAAATAACTGTCAGAGAGAAGAACAAAAGTGTAAAAAAAAAATGTTGCTAAATTCCTGATTACTTAATAAAACATTAATTTTATTGAATTTTGAATTTTGGCCTACTCCTGACACTCCTCAGCCTCCATCAACCAATACCTGAACAGGCCAATATAGTCACAAAAAGACCTCATCAAAGGTCAGTAATTGTATAATATTACATGGGACTTTTACTCCCATCCACATTAGAGTCTAGGACAGTAACTAGTCAGTCTAGCTGTGTTTTATATATAGACAGAGACTTTATCACTTACCTGTATTAGAGTGTAGGACAGTAACTAGTCAGTCTACCTGTGTTTTATATATAGACAGAGACTTTATCACTTACCTGTATTAGAGTGTAGGACAGTAACTAGTCAGTCTACCTGTGTTTCATATAAAGACATAGACTTTATCACTTACCTGTATTAGAGTGTAGGACAGTAACTAGTCAGTCTACCTGTGTTTTATATGAATACAGAGACTTTATCACTTACCTGTATTAGAGTGTAGGACAGAAACTAGTCAGTCTACCTGTGTTTTATATATAGACAGAGACTTTATCACTTACCTGTATTAGAGTCTAGGACAGTAACTAGTCAGTCTACCTGTGTTTTATATGAAGACAGAGACTTTATCACTTATCTGTATTAGAGTGTAGGACAGTAACTAGTCAGTCTAGCTGTGTTTTATATATAGACAGAGACTTTATCACTTACCTGTATTAGAGTGTAGGACAGTAACTAGTTAGTCTAGCTGTGTTTATATATAGACAGAGACTTTATCACTTACCTGTATTAGAGTCTAGGACAGTAACTAGTCAGTCTACCTGTGTTTTATATATAGACAGAGACTTTATCACTTACCTGTATTAGAGTCTAGGACAGTAACTAGTCAGTCTACCTGTGTTTTATATATATAGACAGAGACTTTATCACTTACCTGTATTAGAGTGTAGGACAGTAACTAGTCAGTCTACCTGTGTTTTATATATAGACAAAGACTTTATCACTTACCTGTATTAGAGTGTAGGACAGTAACTAGTCAGTATAGCTGTGTTTTATATATAGACAGAGACTTTATCACTTACCTGTATTAGAGTGTAGGACAGTAACTAGTCAGTCTAGCTGTATTTTATATATAGACAGAGACTTTATCACTTACCTGTATTAGAGTCTAGGACAGTAACTAGTCAGTCTAGCTGTGTTTATATATAGACAGAGACTTTATCACTTACCTGTATTAGAGTGTAGGACAGTAACTAGTCAGTCTACCTGTGTTTTATATATAGACAGAGACTTTATCACTTACCTGTATTAGAGTGTAGGACAGTAACTAGTCAGTCTAGCTGTGTTTTATATATAGACAAAGACTTTATCACTTACCTGTATTAGAGTCTAGGACAGTAACTAGTCAGTCTACCTGTGTTTATATATAGACAGAGACTTTATCACTTACCTGTATTAGAGTCTAGGACAGTAACAACTCAGTCTAACTGTGTTTTGTATATAGACAGAGACTTTATCACTTACCTGTATTAGAGTCTAGGACAGTAACTAGTCAGTCTACCTGTGTTTTGTATATAGACAGAGACTTTATCACTTACCTGTATTAGAGTCTAGGACAGTAACTACTCAGTCTACCTGTGTTTTGTATATAGACAGAGACTTTATCACTTACCTGTATTAGAGTGTAGGACAGTAACTACTCAGTCTAACTGTGTTTTATATATAGAAAGAGACTTTATCACTTACCTGTATTAGAGTGTAGGACAGTAACTAGTCAGTTTGTGTTTTATATATAGACAGAAACTTTATCACTTACCTGTATTAGAGTGTAGGACAGTAACTAGTCAGTCTTACTCTAGCTGTATTTTATATATAGACAGAGACTTTATCACTTACCTGTATTAGAGTGTAGGACAGTAACTACTCAGTCTAACTGTGTTTTGTGTATAGACAGAGACTTTATCACATACTTGTATTAGAGTGTAGGACAGTAACTAGTCAGTCTACCTGTGTTTATATATAGACAGAGACTTTATCACATACCTGTATTAGAGTGTAGGACAGTAACTAGTTAGTCTAGCTGTGTTTATATATAGACAGAGACTTTATCACTTACCTGTATTAGAGTCTAGGACAGTAACTAGTCAGTATAGCTGTGTTTATATATAGACAGAGACTTTATCACTTACCTGTATTAGAGTCTAGGACAGTAACTAGTCAGTCTACCTGTGTTTTATATATAGACAGAGACTTTATCACTTACCTGTATTAGAGTCTAGGACAGTAACTAGTCAGTCTAGCTGTGTTTTATATATATAGACAGAGACTTTATCACTTACCTGTATTAGAGTCTAGGACAGTAACTAGTCAGTCTACCTGTGTTTTATATATATAGACAGAGACTTTATCACTTACCTGTATTAGAGTCTAGGACAGTAACTAGTCAGTCTACCTGTGTTTTATATATATAGACAGAGACTTTATCACTTACCTGTATTAGAGTCTAGGACAGTAACTAGTCAGTCTACCTGTGTTTTATATATATAGACAGAGACTTTATCACTTACCTGTATTAGAGTCTAGGACAGTAACTAGTCAGTATAGCTGTGTTTATATTTAGACAGAGACTTTATCACTTACCTGTATTAGAGTGTAGGACAATAACTAGTCAGTCTAGCTGTATTTTATATATAGACAGAGACTTTATCACTTACCTGTATTAGAGTCTAGGACAGTAACTAGTCAGTCTACCTGTGTTTATATATAGACAGAGACTTTATCACTTACCTGTATTAGAGTGTAGGACAGTAACTAGTCAGTCTACCTGTGTTTTATATATAGACAGAGACTTTATCACTTACCTGTATTAGAGTGTAGGACAGTAACTAGTCAGTCTAGCTGTGTTTTATATATAGACAAAGACTTTATCACTTACCTGTATTAGAGTCTAGGACAGTAACTACTCAGTCTAACTGTGTTTTGTATATAGACAGAGACTTTATCACTTACCTGTATTAGAGTGTAGGACAGTAACTACTCAGTCTAACTGTGTTTTATATATAGAAAGAGACTTTATCACTTACCTGTATTAGAGTGTAGGACAGTAACTCGTCAGTCTGTGTTTTATATATAGACAGAGACTTTATCACTTACCTGTATTAGAGTGTAGGACAGTAACTAGTCAGTCTTACTCTAGCTGTATTTTATATATAGACAGAGACTTTATCACATACCTGTATTAGAGTGTAGGACAGTAACTACTCAGTCTAACTGTGTTTTGTGTATAGACAGAGACTTTATCACATACTTGTATTAGAGTGTAGGACAGTAACTAGTCAGTCTACCTGTGTTTATATATAGACAGAGACTTTATCACTTACCTGTATTAGAGTGTAGGACAGTAACTAGTCAGTCTACCTGTGTTTTATATGAAGACAGAGACTTTATCACTTACCTGTATTAGAGTGTAGGACAGTAACTAGTCAGTCTACCTGTGTTTTATATATAGACAGAGACTTTATCACTTACCTGTATTAGAGTGTAGGACAGTAACTAGTCAGTCTAGCTGTGTTTTATATGAAGACAGAGACTTTATCACTTACCTGTATTAGAGTCTAGGACAGTAACTAGTCAGTCTACCTGTGTTTTATATATAGACAGAGACTTTATCACTTACCTGTATTAGAGTGTAGGACAGTAACTAGTCAGTCTACCTGTGTTTTATATGAAGACAGAGACTTTATCACTTACCTGTATTAGAGTGTAGGACAGTAACTAGTCAGTCTAGCTGTGTTTTATATATAGACAGAGACTTTATCACTTACCTGTATTAGAGTGTAGGACAGTAACTAGTCAGTCTAGCTGTGTTTATATATAGACAGAGACTTTATCACTTACCTGTATTAGAGTCTAGGACAGTAACTAGTCAGTCTACCTGTGTTTTATATATAGACAGAGACTTTATCACTTACCTGTATTAGAGTGTAGGACAGTAACTAGTCAGTCTAGCTGTGTTTATATATAGACAGAGACTTTATCACTTACCTGTATTAGAGTGTAGGACAATAACTAGTCAGTCTAGCTGTGTTTATATATAGACAGAGACTTTATCACATACCTGTATTAGAGTGTAGGACAGTAACTAGTTAGTCTAGCTGTGTTTATATATAGACAGAGACTTTATCACTTACCTGTATTAGAGTCTAGGACAGTAACTAGTCAGTCTAGCTGTGTTTTATATATATAGACAGAGACTTTATCACTTACCTGTATTAGAGTGTAGGACAGTAACTAGTCAGTCTACCTGTGTTTTATATATATAGACAGAGACTTTATCACTTACCTGTATTAGAGTCTAGGACAGTAACTAGTCAGTATAGCTGTGTTTATATATAGACAGAGACTTTATCACTTACCTGTATTAGAGTCTAGGACAGTAACTAGTCAGTCTACCTGTGTTTTATATATAGACAGAGACTTTATCACTTACCTGTATTAGAGTCTAGGACAGTAACTAGTCAGTCTACCTGTGTTTTATATATAGACAGAGACTTTATCACTTACCTGTATTAGAGTGTAGGACAGTAACTAGTCAGTCTACCTGTGTTTTATATATATAGACAGAGACTTTATCACTTACCTGTATTAGAGTCTAGGACAGTAACTAGTCAGTATAGCTGTGTTTATATATAGACAGAGACTTTATCACTTACCTGTATTAGAGTGTAGGACAGTAACTAGTCAGTCTAGCTGTGTTTTATATATATAGACAGAGACTTTATCACTTACCTGTATTAGAGTGTAGGACAGTAACTAGTCAGTCTACCTGTGTTTTATATATAGACAAAGACTTTATCACTTACCTGTATTAGAGTGTAGGACAGTAACTAGTCAGTCTACCTGTGTTTTATATATAGACAGAGACTTTATCACTTACCTGTATTAGAGTGTAGGACAGTAACTAGTCAGTCTACCTGTGTTTTATATGAAGACAGAGACTTTATCACTTACCTGTATTAGAGTGTAGGACAGTAACTAGTCAGTCTAGCTGTGTTTTATATATATAGACAGAGACTTTATCACTTACCTGTATTAGAGTCTAGGACAGTAACTAGTCAGTATAGCTGTGTTTATATATAGACAGAGACTTTATCACTTACCTGTATTAGAGTCTAGGACAGTAACTAGTCAGTCTAGCTGTGTTTTATATATATAGACAGAGACTTTATCACTTACCTGTATTAGAGTGTAGGACAGTAACTAGTCAGTCTACCTTTGTTTTATATATATAGACAGAGACTTTATCACTTACCTGTATTAGAGTCTAGGACAGTAACTAGTCAGTCTAGCTGTGTTTTATATATATAGACAGAGACTTTATCACTTACCTGTATTAGAGTCTAGGACAGTAACTAGTCAGTATAGCTGTGTTTATATATAGACAGAGACTTTATCACTTACCTGTATTAGAGTGTAGGACAATAACTAGTCAGTCTAGCTGTATTTTATATATAGACAGAGACTTTATCACTTACCTGTATTAGAGTCTAGGACAGTAACTAGTCAGTCTACCTGTGTTTATATATAGACAGAGACTTTATCACTTACCTGTATTAGAGTGTAGGACAGTAACTAGTCAGTCTACCTGTGTTTTATATATAGACAGAGACTTTATCACTTACCTGTATTAGAGTGTAGGACAGTAACTAGTCAGTCTAGCTGTGTTTTATATATAGACAAAGACTTTATCACTTACCTGTATTAGAGTCTAGGACAGTAACTACTCAGTCTAACTGTGTTTTGTATATAGACAGAGACTTTATCACTTACCTGTATTAGAGTGTAGGACAGTAACTCGTCAGTCTGTGTTTTATATATAGACAGAGACTTTATCACTTACCTGTATTAGAGTCTAGGACAGTAACTACTCAGTCTAACTGTGTTTTATATATAGAAAGAGACTTTATCACTTACCTGTATTAGAGTGTAGGACAGTAACTCGTCAGTCTGTGTTTTATATATAGACAGAGACTTTATCACTTACCTGTATTAGAGTGTAGGACAGTAACTAGTCAGTCTTACTCTAGCTGTATTTTATATATAGACAGAGACTTTATCACATACCTGTATTAGAGTGTAGGACAGTAACTACTCAGTCTAACTGTGTTTTGTGTATAGACAGAGACTTTATCACATACTTGTATTAGAGTGTAGGACAGTAACTAGTCAGTCTACCTGTGTTTATATATAGACAGAGACTTTATCACTTACCTGTATTAGAGTGTAGGACAGTAACTAGTCAGTCTACCTGTGTTTTATATGAAGACAGAGACTTTATCACTTACCTGTATTAGAGTGTAGGACAGTAACTAGTCAGTCTACCTGTGTTTTATATATAGACAGAGACTTTATCACTTACCTGTATTAGAGTGTAGGACAGTAACTAGTCAGTCTAGCTGTGTTTTATATGAAGACAGAGACTTTATCACTTACCTGTATTAGAGTCTAGGACAGTAACTAGTCAGTCTACCTGTGTTTTATATATAGACAGAGACTTTATCACTTACCTGTATTAGAGTGTAGGACAGTAACTAGTCAGTCTACCTGTGTTTTATATGAAGACAGAGACTTTATCACTTACCTGTATTAGAGTGTAGGACAGTAACTAGTCAGTCTAGCTGTGTTTTATATATAGACAGAGACTTTATCACTTACCTGTATTAGAGTGTAGGACAGTAACTAGTCAGTCTAGCTGTGTTTATATATAGACAGAGACTTTATCACTTACCTGTATTAGAGTCTAGGACAGTAACTAGTCAGTCTACCTGTGTTTTATATATAGACAGAGACTTTATCACTTACCTGTATTAGAGTGTAGGACAGTAACTAGTCAGTCTAGCTGTGTTTATATATAGACAGAGACTTTATCACTTACCTGTATTAGAGTGTAGGACAATAACTAGTCAGTCTAGCTGTGTTTTATATATAGACAGAGACTTTATCACTTACCTGTATTAGAGTGTAGGACAGTAACTAGTCAGTCTACCTGTGTTTTATAATATACAGAGACTTTATCATTTACCTGCATTAGAGCATAAGGCAGCAACAGAGCAGTATCTAGCCAACCTAACTGTGTTTTACCAATAGAAAGGGACTCTTCTAAATCTGTCTTCACCTTAAATGAAGGAAAATTTCTCAAACTGTGAATCATGAAAGAAAGGGTTATTAAATAAAAACATTTATAATTACTGCTGCTCAAATTTTATTTGAAACAGTCTGAAAAATGATCATTTGCTTACTGTGTCAGTGATGCATGTGAAACTGGTATTCAAACAGGTTTATACAATATACCTTCTGAAAAGTAAGTTTGATAAAATTCTTATTATTGTATGGATAATATGTTGATGGTGCGACTGTTAGGGCGAGCACAGATATCTATTCAGTTTTAATTTACATCAGTCTCTTCAAACCGCACATGATATTTGGTACGTAGAGACTCTGACGTCACATGACTTCATGTAAGTTGTATTACCAAAACTAAGTCTGAACAGTGCTAATTTTAATGAAAAATGTTTGAATGTTTTTTTGCAATATCCATTAAAACAATGTGATTTTATTTTGTGTTGAACTTTTGTTACTACTGCAAGAATGTAGTTTACTGCAAGATGCAATTCGTAAAGCATTATGGGACCACAGGTTACTGCGGGAAAAAAATACATTTGGATCAATGTGTAAAGTCCAAATTTTCTCTTCACCCAGGCATTGCTTTAAGAGCTCGCAGTGACGAGCAGCACTTTGCTCCGCTCATTGTGCTCGTTATTACATTGTGTTATACTTTCATGTTAAATTGTCAAATTTGATTCCTTTAAAAACATTTGTTATTATACAGTTAAAGTATATCATTGAGGGAGTCAGCAAGATTCCAGTTCCCCATGAGCAAGTCTATTTCCCGAGGCACTTGCGCCGAGGGAAATAGGCTTGCTCGAGGGGAACTGGAATCTTGCTGACTTCCTCAATGATATACTTTAACTGTTTTATTATACCGATACAAACAAGAAATTAGAAAAAGTTAAAATCAATACTGTAACAATGTTTAATTTTAATTCAAGTATCCAACTTTGTAACAGGTATATTAAATAAAAAATCATAACGCAACAGAATTTATAACAGTCATTGAAGAAATTCCATTTTACCTTTAAATAAATTAGTTCATTGTCTGAGCTACTTTGTAAAATTGAAGGTAACATTACAGTTAGCTGAGTTTACAAAGTTACGTGATATGTCTAGCTCTCAGTGCACATCAGTTTACCATGTTGACATCATAATGCAAGTGGCATAACATTTCCCATATGAATTAGGCCCCACCTCCTTATATGATGCATTAACATAGCTGCGTTATGAATATGTATGAGATTATTTGGAACACATAAGAACTTTTCATATAATTAAAAGAAATTGCTTAGTGTTCCAAATAGATGTGTATCAGTTCACCAGACTGTCACACCTTTTTGCAGGGAATCAGTCCTTTTACGGTGATTTTCAGGGAATCAGTAAAAATACATTGATTTACTCTTATATAGTGAAAAATCAGTAGAGGTATAATAAAAAGTAGTATTATACCTCAGAGTCTACTGATTTCTCCCTATATAACATTAGATCGTTAGATGCGACTAAATCCCTATAGAAATCGTTATGAATGGAACTAATTCCCGTGTGTTAGTCAAGTGAGCTAATCCCTGCATTTAAAGCTAATTCCCGATTATCTGCAATCCTCTAGATTTTACTTATACATTGGTATGATATGTGAATGGACTAATCCCCATGTGTTAGTTCAGTGAGCTAATCCCTGCTATGAAATCACGCTTTCTGAATCCTCTAAATTTTACATTTGTATCGGTATAATAAAACAGTTAAAAGTATATCATTGCGGGAGTTAGCAAGATTCCAGTTCCCCTTGACCAGGACTATTTCCCTCGGCTTTGCCTCGGAAATCATGGAAACAGTCTTGGCATTGGGGAACTGGAATTCTTGCTAACTCCCTCAGTGATATACTTTAACTGTATACTTATACCCTACCATGTGCATAAACCATGTTCTCTGGGTAACATTACATTGCAACAGTTGACAATGCATGAAAAATGTAACAGTATAAAAATTGTTAACTGTGCAGAATGTTTGCTCGTATGGTTCACCATGATACATGTATATTCCTTTAAATGCATTCTGAATACTTCAGTATAACAAAAAATATTACTTTTTTTAGGTATGGGCCTTGGTCAACAATGGTTTTCGCGGATAACGTGAGATCTCATCCCATAACAGACTCGGACTATGAATGACTCGGACTATTACGGAGTCGGACTACACATACTCGGACTATAACAGAGTCGGCCTACAGCTAAAAATCTTATTATCTTTAAGATGTAAAACATACTTTTTATTTATTTGACTTTTTTCTGTAATTCTGTTAATGACCTGATATTTTCACAAGAAGTGATAAATTTTCGAGTCCTACTAAACACTGTACGCTAGAGTACAATAGAGTATACTTTAGAATACGCTGGTAAAATTTTATAATTAATGCAATAAAACTGCTGCTGATTTATTTATTTGTATTATATTTTTTGAGTTAACTTTTTAATTTTTTTATGCGATAAAGATTTTGAGAATATTTATGTTAAATTGGTGCAAATTATATAATTTACAAGAAAATAAATCATTATTGTTTGGATTTAGTTTTAAAATTAAATAATTGCGGCTCTAAAAATTTACAGTTACCACTGTAGTTAAATCAACACTTGGTGTATATTTTAGATTAGAATTGTATCGTTAATTTTTCAATTATCTGGGTCTGATTTTTATAACTGAATATCATTGATTTCTATTTTCAGCATTTAAGGAAAATCAATTTTACAAGCTGCGATTTTAGTTTTTTCCCCCCCTTCTTTTTCTCTTTAGTAGAAATATAATTATTATTTCCATGACCAGCAACGAGAAAAGGTCACTCTGTATCAGTATTTCTATATAATGCCATAAATTTTTATAAATATATAATTCTGTTCTTAATTTTGTAGTCACATTAAAATTTGACTTAAAGCTGTACTTTTACTCAGTGCAAACTGTAATAATACCCATTAAAGGCTTTAAAGCAGCAAAAGATTATTCTCAAAAAACATGGAAATATAAGGGAAAAATCTTTTCAGTTTCATCTAAAATAAAAAATCTTATTCCAAATAAGCTGTTTTAATTGTGGTGATGTGGTTAAGATTTCTTACTTGTATCATATTCTTATATTTATTCCGGGTAAAGAATTTGTCGCCTGAGAATTATAATGTTCTAATTGGATTTTGAAAATTTTCTGAAAATTGACGCTTAAGTTCGGGAATATATATTTTTTATGCATAGCCTTTTAGACTTTGAGATAGGGCATATATACTTAAAATATGCTATCCTACAACAAAAAATAAATAAATAAATAAATAAATAAATAAATAAATAAATAATGTTTAGTAACTGAGGTACATTTATTAAAATAAAATGATTCTGCAGTTTTTGAATTCTCATATTATACTATCATAAATTAACATTCAACATATTTATCAATATTTCTTTATTTTGTAGATTGAATATTCACTTGTATTGGGCTTCTATAAAATACATAAATTGTTGATATACATGTATAGCAATCAGCTCAAACTACTTACATAAATTAATAAGTAAAAATAGAAAATTTCAGTTTTATTGGTTAGATACATATCCATCCTTTCGAAATTAATTATTAAAATAACATATCACTTAGAATAATTATTTTGGGTGTTATCTGGGTCTAATAGTGTCAAAAAGACATTGGTCCATTGTTTGTATATATCCCCTCTACCTCCTAGATATGGCTTCTGTATGTCACCTGTGTAATCCAAGTAACTGTGGTATGCATAAATTGATAAACACACACTAAAATATTTCAAATTTTTATTTATTTAGGAATGACTCTAATTCTTGGTCAAATTATTCTAGTATAACCTGGCTTGGGTCAGTTTACGCTTTATAATCCGCGAAGCGGATTATAAAACAGCGTAACCTGACCCAAACCAGGTTATACTTGAATAATTTGGCCAAGAATTAGAGTCATTCCTTATAATTTCATTTTAAAATCATTGAATAACTATGGGTGTAAAATTTTGTTGCTTTTTATTAGTTCAAATTTGCTGCTCAATAATACAACCCTAGTAACGGAAGTACCGGAAGTGATGGGAAGCGAGGGGAGGTAAAAACTGATACTTAGGCCTAGCAGCCTTGTTGTTTGTTTACATGTGGTAAGATCGAATATTGTTTGGTACATTTATTAAATCTGGAATTTTCCATGAATCCCGGGACTGGAAATGAGAGGATTGTATGGATACATGTACAGATGATTCAGCTGGTTGTCGGGGGGGGGGGGGGGGGGGGGGGGGGTGTCCCCATACCAAACCAGGTTATACAGAAATAATTTGTGTTCCTTTTTGGATATTAACCAATCAGAGGCTAGAATACAAACAAAATTAAATTATTTTAGGAATGACTCTAATTCTTGGCCAAATTATTCGAGTATAACCTGGTTTGGGTCAGTTTACGCTTTATAATCCGCAAAGCGGATTATAAAATAGCGTAAACTGACCCAAACCAGGTTATACTCGAATAATTTGACCAAGAATTAGAGTCATTTCTTATAATTTCATTTTAAAATCATTAAATAACTATGGGTGTAAAATTTCGTTGCTTTTTATTAGTTCAAATTTGCCGCTCAATAATACAACCCTAGTAACGGAAGTAACGGAAGTGTAGGAAGCAAGGGGAGGTAAAAACTGATACTTAGGCCTAGCAGCCTTGTTGTTTGTTTACATGAGCATGGTAAGATCGAATTATTGTTTGAAGTTAAAGGTTCATTTATTAAATCTGGAATTTTCCATGAATCCCGAGGACTGGAAATGAGAGGATTGTATGGATACAGATGATTCAGCTGGTTGTCAGGGGGGAGTGTCCCCATACCAAACCAGGTTATACAGAAATAATATGTGTTCCTTTTTGGATATTAACCAATCAGAGGCTAGAATACAAACAAAATTAAATTATATGAAAATAAAAAAAATACAAGTGAAAATTTTTTATTCGTAATACTATACCAACTTAATTTATGAATTTTCTAGATAAAATATACAATTTTCTTTTAATTTACGTTGCTAAGTATTATTACAAAGTACTTCTAAATGCATAGACCGAGTCTGCAATGGGCAGACCTAGTAATAGTCCGACTCTGTTATAGTCCGACTCTGTTATAGTTCGACATCTCTATTACCCGTTTTCGCGGGATAAGAATTTCATATGTTACTATAAAAAACGTGCAACATTTTTATAATATAGCCCATGTAGACTAAAAAGTTTTGTATTTGAAATTTACTCCTACATTTGCTATTCAACACTGAATGTTATTTAATTTTTTTTTTAAATGAATAGACCTCCAAATCGTATTTTGACCTATATTTGAGTGATTTTGCTGTTGTTGGACACATGTCTTAGCCTGGAAATATAGAGGGGAGGGGAACTATACTATCCAATTGAAAATAAAAGAAATTTCGCTTTTAAGAGAATAGGTGCATGAGTAGTTTGGATGAAAAAAAAAATTCACTCCCTAGAAACACTTACAACACCTAGAGGTTTTCGCAGCAAATACGTCGAGGCGTAAGCGAGCCATCCCAGGACAAAAATGACGGCCTGTCGTCTCTGTAATGGTGTGCTTAACATCCTGGTTCAAGAATCAACAGCCGGAACCAATTATCCGTTTTATAACTAACTTTGCTCAGATGTACCATTCAAAACACCAAGAGAATAAAGATGATCAAAGTATACCTGAAAATTATAGGGTGTTGTCTGCAAACCATGCCGAAAAATATATGAGAAAATTCGAGATAGTGTGTAAAAACTCTTCATAAATCCACATGATAAAAAAGAAGGATACCTACTTAAGTCATTGCTGTATGTTCTTTGTAGTCATCGGGACATAGGGAAAAATCATCGGAACTATGCAATAGCCAATATCTTCTCCAACCGACCACGACACCAAAGGTAAACAAATATTTAATTAACTCTCTTGCTCGTTGCTCTTCTTTTTAAAAGATTATGTCGTTCTTGAAATATTTCGTAGCAATCCACATTACTTTCATACGCAACCTAGTTTTTAACTTTATTTTGTTACCGGCCTATATTTCTGTTATTGAAGATCTATAATAAGTGAAGAAACTGTATTATCACTATATCAATTTTGTGATGCCGAACATCTCTTTAAAAAACAAACCGTATGTTTGGTTATAGGTTTTCATCATATTCTTTTCAAAACCTTTGTAAATAGGGCGTTATAGGATTTGATCACGTGACCAATTTCATGTCATACTCCAATGAAACTCTAAAAATGATATCTTATTTCTTAAGGTAGATCGCGGTTTACTGTCTGTCTGAAAACATACGCTGAAAATTTGCAATTTAGAACGTACAATGTCATATATCTTATTTCATGATGTAACTAGTAACTAGTAACTACTTTTATTTCTTTTTTAGAATCAATTACTACACATAATTAAAAAATATCACCTCTGAACTATATTGATGAATGTCTCCCTTGTTGGAGAATTATCTAATTCATCACTGACCCCCCACCCCCCAAAAAACCCAAAAGGAATTACATGTAGATATGATCATACTGACTAATTTTTCCCCATACCTGTGCATGCATGGTTCAGACAATAGTGTTGATCTTTAAAAAAATCAAATTTCAAATATTACAAATTCCAGGGTTGCATTTCATCAAGATAATAAATACTTTGTAATAATGATTTAGAGATGTGTAACCTTATGTTTAAAATAAATTAATATCTAGTCACGTAAAGTAGCATGTATACTAAAATGAAACAAAACAATTTTTTCAAAAGTACAGAATAAAACATCAAATTGGCGGGCAGGCGCTTGACACTCCTGTGCTGGATCCGTACCTTAGAAGGGTACACATACATATATCATGTGAAAAAAGACTACATGTAAAAGACTGCCTTGACCTCAACATCACTGACACGCCATTCCGGGGGTGAGGTGGGTGTTGTTGTTCAGGCTTCCATTTGGATAATTTTAATCTGTATTAAACTGAAATAAACTAAATCAAAAAACATACTTCACGAAACTGCTGCTAGTTTGGTGTTGATGTTGAAATCAACATTCCTTTGCCATTTGTGTTGTGGGCACGGAATTCGTTTTGCCGCACTTCTGAAATTCTAGATAGAGAATGGATGCCAATCCGTATTTTTTTTTTTCACCAGTGCAAGAATAGAGATGTAAGGGTTCATTGCAAAATACACACTCTTTCAAATTTTCAACCCCTCTGCAACAATTTCAATTCAACTACTCGCCTCTCTGCCTCCCATTAATCCTCGACCGTGCAGTGTTTTGCAAGTGCGGGGGCATCTTCCGACTTTTGCTTTGTGTTGTGTTTTTGTTTTAAAAACCAAGTTATTCAGGCTCGCTATCTTTTCTGTTACACAAACTTTCCTTTATATTCATTGCGAAAAGGTTTTGATGGTTTGTTGATTGTGACGCAATTTTCTTTTTAAAAATGACGTAATTTTTAAATTCCTCCAAAATAAATTGAATGACAATTATATATGCAAAGAATGATGAATTATTGCGTTTTACTTTGATAAACAGAATTAGTTTTAGCCCTTGTATTTTCCAACATAAAGAAAACTCTCAATTTAATTATTGTTCCACCCTTTATTTTTAATTATAAATGAATAAATATTTTACAGACCACACAAGCTTTACTGTATGTTTCATTTTATGCTGTATACTGCTGAAGCTATTTCTTGCGTGGTAGGTTTTCTACGTCGAATCCTATTGTGATGTCAGCAAACCCGCGATCTACCTTAAATAACAAGGAGATAATCTTTCCCCTACATTTTTTAATATATTTATTGATGACTTCTACTCGCAGTTAGTTAATTATAACACACGCCCACCAGAACTGCAGAATATTAAAGTTGGTGATTTATTCTTTGCAGATGATCGACTTAATTCTCCTGTCTACTACTAAAGAAGGTCTCCAAAACTCAATAGACTGTCTCTCAGAATATTGCATGAAATCAAAATTAACTTTAACCTGGAATAAAACTAAGGCAATGATTTTTTTTTCAATAAGAAAATTGACACAGCTCAACATTGTTTTTATTATAATCATTCAATAATTCATCTTGAACATGAATATAAATATCTGGGAATTATTTTTACTTATAATGGTAAACTTAAGTATGCAGCTGAACATCTAGCTGACCGTGCAATAAAATGAAATATGTGGAGATAACGAACAGTATTCAAGCTCAAAAGTCCATTAAACATTACAAAATAGGTGCAGAGCAAACACGGACCTCCAAAACATCAGAGGTGGGATCAGGTGCCATGGAAGAGTGAGCATCCCCTGCCGATCGGTCACACCCGCCGTGTGCTCCTTGTCATGATCAGGAATAACGGAAAAATCCGATACGATACATCCCGGTGAGCTTGAGATAAAAGATACCACAGTCTGACACATCTGTTTCATATTTGGATATTTTACTAGAAAAAGACGTTAATGGTAATCTAACACCCAAGCTTTATGATAAACGTGATGACTAACTTTCAATTTTCAACTTCCCTTACTTATGCAGCAATATACCTTCATCACCTGCATACGGGGTACTATATATCTCTCAGTTGATTCGATACGCAAGAGCATGTTCTACGTATGTACAATTTCTAAAACGAGGTAAATTATTGACAAACAAGTTGATGAAACAAGAATATCAGCAGTCTCGTTTAAAGTCATCATTTCATGAGTTCTATGGTCGATACAATGACCTTGTCTGCAAATACAATTTATCATTGAGTCAAATGCTGACTGACGTTTTTCATACCAATTGTTAGGCCATTATTTACACACTGAATTGTCGACGGATTTTCCGTTATTCCTGATCATGACAAGGAGCACACGGCGGGTGTGACCGGTCGGCAGGGGATGGTCACTCCTCCATGGCACCTGATCCCACCTCTGATGTTTTGGAGGTCCGTGTTTGCTCTGCACCTATTTTGTAATGTTTAATGGACTTTTGAGCTTGAATACTGTTCGTTATCTCCATATATTTCATGTAGTACATAAATAAGGGAAGATGATGAATGAAGAGTTGAAATATTCACGTTTATTATGAAGTTTTGTTGTTAGGTGCCATTAATGTCTTTTTTTTCAATTAAAATATCCAAATATTGAACAGATGTATCAGAATCTGTGGTATTTTTTATTCAAGTTCACCGGGATATATCGAGTCGACATATAAATGGAAGTGACTTTTTTAAATTGATAATACGTCGTTGATATTTTTAAATGTCGAGTTAAAGACCATAGCAAGTGTTTCCTAGTTAAACAATTTAAACCATGCTGATAAGTCACATGACACAAGTATACAAGTATCACATGACAAACGTAGACAGCCAATAGATATAAATGTTAAAACATTAGATCTAATAAAAGCAAAAATGTGGTGAACAAAAAGGCAGTGTATATGGTTTTAATTGTGTGTTTTTACACTTTTATTTATCAATTTTATGCATAACTTTGATTTTGTTTAAGCCCACCCCATTTATTGATAATTATATAAGTTTATGGAATATGTAAATGTACTTTTTTAGTCATTTGTTTGTTTTAATAATTGACATTTTGACATAATAGGAGTTTTTCTTCATTTGTTAAGTTCAAGCAAAAACAGCTGCGAATAGCCAGGATTGTTTTCTCCCATTTCAGAAAAAATTGGGATATATAAATAAACATTTATTGGTACAATAAATTGTTTTATATGCAAACCTTTATTACCTATAATGTACGTTAATTTACTAATATAATTGTTTATCCCTTCGGTTGCCCCCAAAACTTTCTATCGGACCTTGTTATATTTTACCAATCAAATGCATGTTTGCATATCACGTGGTTAATTCACTCTAGCTTTTGTCTTCTGTGAAGAAGCCACGGATTTTTCCAACAAGGATGACGGAGGGAAGAGGTAGTTTTGAAAACTTTTTGGTACATTTTTTCAAATGCTGGAATTCAGAAGTGCAACAGAAAAGGGGTGGGGTTCATATCAAATCTAAGGCAAAGACTACACTACAGGAAAAGCCACCCCTCAGAAAATAAGTTACCCCCTGTGTTCTACAGGCCTGAAAATGCGATGTTTAAAAAATTCTTCATGTTTAATATACATTTAAAAGTACTTTTAGTATTAAAATATATTAAAATGTGATGTAAATGTGCTCGTCCAAGTGTTATTTTTAAAAAAAATACGTTTGTAAATAATAAACATGCTAACTCTTAATTTACATGTATTGTGAGGACTTTGTTAAATCTAGGTAACATAGTTTAACCTTACCTGGACCTCTTAGAGGGCCTCTTAGTTGAGTGCGATAATTAAATAGTTTTTTAGCAAGTAGACGTTCGGGAAGTATACCTCTTGAACACCGATATCTAGATTCCGAATCCTCGGATTTCTTCTCTCGGTCCAATCCAATTCAAGAGATAACGAGGTTTGACTGTCATTGAATTTGGTCAAAAGATTAGACAACTTGAATACAAGGAAATATAAAATGAACAGCGTTTACGATATTTTTAATGACAAAGTAAAACATTTAAAATCAGATATTGCTGCAAAATTAATGATTAGGAAAAAACTCACGCAATTACTTTTCAAAGTTTAAAGTTAAACTCTACCCCCTCCTTTCCCTAGAGCCTTCAAACTTTATTCCATGCAGAATTGTCACCATCCTAAATCGACTTATTGCATCTCTTATGCAAATCATTTGTTAATTGTTTCTTTTAGAGAATAAAAACCCTGATTAACCTTTCGAATTGACGCCCGGAAGCCGATGGGAATATGCATTGAAGATTGATTTTCTTATTTGCAACGTTCTTGTGCAAATGACTATTACATAACAATATAGTTATTGGTTGGAATTTCAATCATCTCACCGGCAAGTGATGGCGTATGAATAAGCAATTCTCGAAGGGACATTAGAC